ATAGGGGCAGCTATAAGACAAGAGAGTTCTTGGTGGACTATGAAAAAGAACAGCTGGATACTTAAGAAGAGTACCAGAGCAGACTTTTGAGAAGTCTGAAGGAACATCACCAGCACAGAATAAGAGCTGAAGGAAAACTTTACCCCTGCAGCTAAAATCGCTCCATGCAAGAACTTGAAAAGTCCTGCAAAGCAGGTGTGGTATACTCATGTGGTAGACTTTATAAACAGCCGAAGACAAATGATAGCACTGGAGCTGAGGCAGCTGTTGAACTAAACTGAGGACTGCAGATAAAGCATGGAAGAGAGCTCCGAAAGTGTCCAAAAGCAGAGCATCTTTATCAGAGAGAAAACTGAAAAGTAGCTAGCTTGCAAATTAAGCAAGGAGAGTATAAAAAAAAACCCCTGAGTTAAGGCTGGATATGAAATAAAATTAGAGCTATTAAAAAGCCAAATCCTTACGACAGTAAGACCAATGCTGTTTGTATTGATCTATTGAAAATGAACAGCAACATGTGGCAACTAATAGTAATTATCAAACTTTGTAACAAGGTGGGAAAACTGTAGCACAGGAGCTACTGGCTTTACTAGGACCTCTATTGTGCAATCACAATATTTTTTAAAAAAATTGAAGGGGAATTTTTCACCCCCAAATCAAAGACACACACACACACACATCCTGTCCCCAAGGCAAACCATGCCTCATGGATTTAACCCTGCTTCAGGTTAAATCCAACACTACCATGGTGGCCACAGTGGAATCCCACCCCCTCTCTTACTTTGCACCATTCCAAAGTCAGCTCCACATTGCTTCTTAGCACCCAGAGGTGTTTTCTGGAATGTAGCGGGAGCTTCAGGGGGTCAGAGGGGAATTATTCCCTCTCTCAATTCTGCTGGATTCTACAATCGCACCAGCAGAGATCCCACTGTAGTTATATTGTTTTTAAAAATTAAATAGCTATGGCTTTTCTGAATTTCTAAACTGTTTTGTACTGTATTGTTACTGAGCCACTCTTGCAATAAAAAGCAACATGCAGTGATTAGTTCATATTTTTGGTGGCAGTGAAACTGCATAAAGAATAATTAAGAAGTGGAGTGACCCTCTTTCTGACAGCAGCTCGTCCTTAATAAGAGGGTACCTGGAAGTGGGCAAAAATTGTTGTTGTTGTCCAATACACTATGGAATAAAAGAGAAGTCACCACTGTGGTAAAGACCTCTCTACTGCTTGAGCATGAATAACTTGTATTTATCCCCCCCCCCCCCCCCGATGCACTGCTTTGGGAGATTTGTGTATTGTGCTACTCCCTGGGGAATTAACAATGTAAGAATAATCAATGCTATAGGAAAATAATGCCACAGCTCTAGCCAACCCCGTTCCTCTCTTCCCTTCCCTTAGACCAGTGGTTCTCAACCTGTGGATCCCCAGGTGTTTTGGCCTACAACTCCCAGAAATCCCAGCAGTTGAAGGTCAAAACATCTGGGGACCCACAGGTTGAGAGCCACTGCCTTAGACCCATAAAAACAAAAACAACAACCATAAACCATTTCCCTATTATGATTTCCCCACTTTACAAAACATTTACTAGCTCAACCCACTGCATTCATCCATTGCCTTCTGTTGCCAAGGGCCAATAATGCTATTAGAAGAAATATTAGCACAACTTATGAATTTCGATTTGGAAATCATAGATCCAGACAGGTATGTTTCTAACAGAAACAAAAGAAATTCCTTTCTTCCATTCTTCTCAAATGGTAGAGAGAGAATGCAATAATTAAAGTTTTACAAACAAATACTGAAAAATAATCACAGGTGGACAGTGATAGTTAACCATCTGGAAAGAAAAAAAAAGCAGCTGATGTGATATTCAAAAGTCTGTAAGAACTGAGATATTGTAATATTGACAGATTTAAGGAATTTTTGAATGGAAATATTAAAGGAGCAGGTTGAACTACATTGAAAAGCTTGCCTGTGAAACCTGTGGCTTTGTAAAAACTAGAGGAAAAGAAAGTCAACTCAGTATGCAAAACAAATATTAAAAATATTTTGTAAGATTCCTATAAAAGAGCATAGTTAGACTAAGACACCTATTATTATCCTTTTTTGGCAACTAACACAGAAGGAGATGTTCACGAAAGAATGCTACTACCACGCTTGCCTTGACTAATTCAAAGTGAAGTCTACAAATGAGACATCTCATTAGTTTGAACAGATGGATAAAAATTAAAGGCTGATTTGCCAACTTTTAATTTCCCAGTAGCAAAGAAGAGCTCGAAGTCTTGCAGAGTAGGACAGTTGAAAAATCAACATGAAAAGATTTCCCTCCATCTGTTGAAACACATGCCTGTGTGGAATACAGCTCCCTCCTACTGTCCTTACACTCAAATGGCAATAATGCATATAACATCTATTAAAATGCTCCAGCATTCAACATCAGCTGAATGTTTCATTCTACTATGTAATACAGTAAAGTGACTGGGCCTAACCAGCATGAATTAAATAATGGTAAATTGTGCCTTGTTTAACGTGTTCTTTGAAGAGCTCAGAACAGCAGATAAAGGACTGCCTAGAAATATCATTTTTTAAGGTGTGATCATAAAAAACCAATACAAGAAACTACTGATAAAACACAGTACAAAAAACATATTAACTGCTAAATTTCTGCTGGGACCTATAAAGTGCTAGGATTTTTAGCAATCTAATGGCAAATTGATACCAAATTAAGTTTGTTCAATGTGAAGATGGGACATGTTCAAGTGTCAATGTTTTCCAAGTCACAAGTTTACATTTTTGTGCAGTTGAAAAATAAAGCCAGGAGAACTAGACAGTCACATGTTAAATTTCAATGTTACACTTCTTGTAGGACCAAGCTGGACATGAATATTAAATCTATTTTGGGGATGACAGTCATGTTGTCCAAGGGCCACCTGCATCCCTTGGTTCCCACCATCCCCATGACAGTCCCTTGTTCAATATTTTTTTTTCCTTCTGAGAAAAAGGAATTTTAGACCCAAATTACTCTGGGGACATGGTTTACCATTCTAGTACTGCTTCACTCAAAAACAGCAGAATGTCATCCTCTGAACATGAAGTTGCTTCCAGTTCTCAGTATGTCCCTTCCAGTTCTGGAAAATGGTGATAGTACAGGCCACTAAAGGTTGGGAAGAATCAAAAATGATTCTTTAAGGGTACAACCATGTCCTTTTTAATTGACGCTTTTAATATGAATTCAATGTTCATGAATTCAAACCGCCCTGAGTCTCTTCAGGGAGATAGGGCGGGATATAAATAAAGTTTTATATTATATAATACGTTATAATGTAAACAGAGCATACATTAAAATTATTGGGATTGCTGTCATTTACAAAAGAGTTTAATTCTATCCTTGTCTGCTATAGCTGTTATGAAAGTTGCTTCTTTGAAGCTCCCATTTGCACTGGGAGAAAATTTGTTAGGCAATCGCAAATAGCTTCATAAGAGTGATTTTTGTCAGAACCACATCAGGTGAATAAAATACTTAAAACTCCTTTACCTAATTTACTGTATCTCAATAACAGTACCCCCCCCCCTTTAATGCTTGCGATTTACCAGATTTTAAAAATCTATGAGAAATGGAAATATGTTTTAATGTCATATGTAACTTGGACCTCATCAAGTTAACTATCTCCGATTTTTTAGACTAATTTATGTTGAAATCCCAACCAGATGTTGACTGCAGAAGTCTTAATGTAATTATTGAAAGCCTATTTGAACAAAATAGATTCAGAGAGATTTATTGTCTGGATTAAAGTTCAATTCAGAGAAGTTTAGTGTCTGGATCACAAATGTGACACTGTTTCTTTCTGAGTAAGCATAGATAATGGATGATCTCTCATGAAAAAATAAAACTTTTCTAAGTGGCTAGTACAAAAGCTACAACTACTCCTGGCCACAGTGATCCAGGCATTTGGTAATCTGAAACCTGGGCTGCTGTAATCTGTGTGTGATTAATTTTAGGCTTGGTTCGGAAGCGGCAAAAAGTGTAGAATAGGAAATCTACACGAGTTTTATGACATCTCCTTGTGTAGAAATATACCTCCTGTGCTGGGAAGCTGCCAATCAATCAACAGCAAGAATCAAAGTGTTACTTTTCATTCATAAGAAATTGCCTTTTGTACAGTCTTTATATTTTGACTGGGAAGTTCTACTTACCATATTGTGGCCAAGTGAAGTTCATTTGGATGCAATGCAGAAGAAGTCCTTCTTCGATACAATGGCCACGATGTCAAATTATCTCACTGAGTTTCAGGAAGATTCCAAGTGTGGCTTTTCTACCATCAGTTATAAACCTATTTGTTTGCCCAGGCATTTTCCTTATTACCGACCTGACTCTGAACATTGTTTTATCATTGTGTTGTCAATTTTAACAACTAGTGTCAATTGCATTTGGTTTTTGTTATAAACTTTTTTTGCACAAAAAGCTATATAAACATGTATTTCAGTAATAAATAAAATGAAATACAATTGTGGTTTATAAAATCCATGCTCTCACATTTGAGCAAGTGTCAAAGGCTGTGAGTGGTATGCAGAATATGTCAATGTATCCATTGGCACCCACTCATGACTCTGTTCATTTATCTGATAATTAATATAAATATGCCATCCTCAATTCAATGCTTCATTGTATACGAAATGAATGTACATCTCCTTTTGGAAAAGTACATTATGTAATTAGACCAGGGCACTCTTATTCATGCTTCCATGTGACAAAAGGAGACTAAATACCAAGCATTAAGGAGTTTTACATGCTCCTTTGCTGGCATTCTAGAGTGTTTGCAGGCTTTCTTACATGAAATTTTAATTTAAAAAGCTTTTCATTGCTTCTGAAAACTTCAAAAAAATGAATCAGCTAGTTTCCAAATGGAACAGAGGGAAATCAAATTGTTTACCCAAGCAAAGAATAAATCCTTGTTGATATGATTTACAAAAAGTTTCTTACTAAAAGCCAATGAAGTGAGCATACCTGATGTCCAGCTGTTATTTGCTTCAAGACATTTTCATAACAAACTTCATCCATGTTGATCAACTGCTGTACCTGTGCAATAGAATACAGATGCTTTACTAACTAGTATTATTTTATCCCCATTGTTGTAAGACCATCTTCACCATGGCCTACATCTTAGACATTCATGTAGTCTTACTAATGCTTAAGGAATACAAACAGTTTTGAAGCAATTAAACATCTCTCCTTCACTGAGATACTTGGAAAACATTGAATTGTAAACTTATGTAGCTTAAAAATGAGTTATTTACAAAGTAAGATTATATCTTTGAATTTACTCCAAATGATATTAATATAACAGCATTAGTGGTATACCTCACATAACAAAGCAGATGTATTTCTAGGAATTACAATATTAACAGAAAATGCTGGTAACTAGAGGCAGAACTGTGAAACTATATGTTTATCCAGCCCTCCTTCACCATCTTTCCAATACTGATCCTACTAAAAAAATCCAGCTAGATATTGGATGAAGAGGAAAGATGACTGGAAAAGTGTAAAATTCTTTGACAGAAGCTTTGTTAAATGTGGTATGCCTATACAAACCTTGCTGTATGCGTGTTCATAGACAAGCACATGCCTGTCAAGCATATGCAAATACTTGAAATTCTGGCTAACAAGGTTGAAAGAACAAAGTTTAGTGTCTTCCTATAACTTTGGTCTCAATTAATGTGCCTTTAAAATAGTCATTTGGATATTTCAAAAATGTACCTAGCTTTTATGCAAATCAGTGGATTATGGAGATTGTGAGTATAATTAAACCCTTGACTTGGCCTAGGAGGAAGCTTGAGAAGACCCCTTAGGCAGTCTATACAAAATTAACTACCCCAGAAGGATGATGTAAGTCATTATTTCTCAGTATGGTTCTCTAACCCATAACAGAGATGCAACACTGAATTTCACTGGAAGGTCATTGCCTCCTGTTCTCAGCCAAATTTACAGTGATGAAAAACACAAGGGTGGTATAAGTTAATATTGGTATGTCAGCCCAGGCAAAAGTTATCAGTAATGGCAAAAACTAAACTGCAAGGTTAGCATAAGCCTTTCTTCTCCAGCAATAGCTTTTTCAATCTTCAATGTGCAGAAAATAAATAGCAATCTCCCTGGAATTTGCTTTAGTAGGGATTTTTTTTAAAAAAAAGTTTTGTACTAAATTAGAAATCAGAAAGAATCTGAACTCTTTATTTTATTTTTTGTGTTAGGCAAAAAGCCACTTGCTTACAATCACATTCAAACAATAGTTGTTGCTGTTGTTGCTGATGTTATTTTAAAATCCTCCACTGGTATCTATAGGTAGCAAACTCTTCTACACATGAAGCTTCTAACAGGTATAAAGCAAAGGTGTGCAACTGTGGGCATATTAGCATCGCAAGAGAACTTGGGTGAGCTAGGCTTTAGATCTGGAATTGTTTTTCAAAATTTTGCAAATATTTGCTTTGACCCAGCAGGAAGAGGAACAGCAGGTCTCCAAACATGGTGTAAATATCCTGCACAGACCCCTAGAGTCATTGAGGACATATTATGGAGCCTTTTTGTAAGTTTTGATTTGAACTCTAAGGGGAGGAGGGGGGGGGACAAATGGTATTGTGGGGCCTAAAGCTGCACTTTGTCCATTCTTGGGATAGAAGATTGTAATTCAGCTACTGTAAAGAAATGCCACATGAAATCCTTACTTGACATTGCTTCCAACTCTGAAATAAAACTATGGCTATTTAGAATAGACTGACTGGCTTTGAGCCTGGCATGTTCCTCTTGGGTAAGACCAGAAAGGGCAAACCACCAAAGCCACAATTTTCTGGTGCAGATTTAACTTGCCCCTAGAAGCATATATTAACATGGAAGAAAAGTAATTTTCCATTTGCTGTCTTGATTTTAACCTTTGCATACTTCCTGATTCCTAATTAAACCACAGTTTTCAGGGGTTGTGGTTGTGGGGTGGGAATCAACCATTAAGGCAGTGTGTGGTTCTCTGCAGATGCAACACTCAACTACTCCTTTGGACAAAGGAGTACTGTGAGCAAAGTATGAGTTAAGACTTGGAATTCCTTGGCTTCATTTTAAACTGCTACTGCCTTAATGAAATAATAATAATAATAATAATAATAATAATAATAATAATAATAATAATTCCATTAAGGCAGTAGCAGTTTAAAATGAAGCCAAGGAATTCCAAGTCTTAACTCATACTTTGCTCACAGTACTCCTTTGTCCAAAGGAGTAGTTGAGTGTTGCATCTGCAGAGAACCACACAGCTGAGCTGTTTCATGTGGCCAGAGGACTTTTGAATCTTTGTTCTTTGAATGGGATCCCTGACCAGTCAGCACTGTGAAGCTTTTGCTAAGTACTTTGCAGACAAACAGAACAGATCAGAACAGAACAGACCTGTTCTGACTTGGATGAGAATTTGAACACTGTTCCCATGGATGTGACTTGGGTACCTGCTTGTCCAGTTTTGATGAATAATTGGTTTTAATATTGTCTGAATACTGTTTATCATGTTTTTCATATACTTTGTTTTAACTTTTGTGTTTTCCATTTTTTCTGTATTTTCTATTAGTATTGTATTATGTTTCAATGGCATTGAATTGCTGCCTAGTGTCAGCTGCTCTGTGTCCCTCAGTGAGGGGGAGCGAGTGGGATATAGAACAAAGTAAATAAATAAAATAATAAATAAATAACGTCCCAGCTAGGAAATAAAATGGAAACTGTCATATCTATCATTGAAGCAAAATATGCAATAATGAGAATGCTGTATAGTCAAACTATCAAATCCAAGCTTAATGAAGAAAAACAGAATTACAAGTGCAATCAATCTTGGAAAAGATGAGCTGCATATTTCCTCCTATTATGCAATTTCCTCTTACAGAGACAATTCTGTGTTGCTGCAGTGTTTTCAAAATGTGCACATTTGTGAATCAGGTGGAACTACTAAAAAGATAATACAAAAATGAGCCTCACACATAACTTCCATGTTGTTGCATAAAAAGTCCAAAACAACAATCACACGCATTCCCTCTAATTGATGTAATATGAGTCACAATGCAATCCTGTGCATATGGAGAGTACAATATTCTTCTACCATAACAGTTAGTTAGCTCCTAGTACGTGTCTTTAGGACTGCAGCTTAATCTGTCTTTACAAGAAAACCTCCTTAGAGCACCATTAGTTTCACTGTCAACCAGAAGAAATCAGGTGTTGAAGAAACAGGCTATTCAAAAGCCAGCAGCTTCTCCTCTGGACAGCAAGGAAAATGGCTCTCTGTGCTTTCCCTTGACCACCACTTACTCCATTCCTTTAATGTCAAATATTGATAAAGTTCCCTCACTATTGTTTTTCAAATCTGTTAACTGAAAGAAAAACTACCTTATTGGTTGTCTTGATCCCAATAAAGGTCTGCCCAAGGGGAACAGGTCGAAAACGGCCATCAAAATAAAATAGTCCGATGTAAGGATTAACATGCAGAAATGTAGCAACATCAAGGTAATTAGGAAGCGTTGCTGAAAGACCCAAGATTCGAATCATGCTTTGCGTAGATTCAACCTGTAACAAAAAAAAAAGGGGGGGGGGGCGGGGAGAAAGACTATTGTAAACCCAACTTCATGAAAGCCTTGTACAAAGCTAGTTTTATTTTAAGTAAATATAAAAATCAACAATGTCTACAATAATAAAATTAGCTGGTGGGAATATCAACATTTTGTGCAGTGTGTGTCAAAGAAGTGGATAAACCTATACGCATGGGGTTTTATTTTCCTGCTCTTGACTTTTCTCTCATTCCTTCCTCTCTTTCCTGTGGCCACAAGAGCCACAAGAAACATAAGAGATTCAAAGGATGGGTGACTTCTTCATTGTCCTTTTCTTCTACTCTATTTATACCCCCCCCCCCAAACTAAAAACACCCCTGGGCAACAAAGCAGCTTAAAAATTAAACCAGGCATAATAAAGATGAAACATACAAAAGGGCAACATTAAATTGAATGAATAATTAAGAATATTAATAACAGTTTAAAACATACAATTAAACTGGTTAAAGAGCAGTTTAAAAATAACACATGGTATACTTTTAAAAGTCCTTTCTTTGAAAACCTTCAGTCTCAAAAGTCAATGGGTTATAAAATGAAAATAAGAAACAGCATAACCAGTGAGGACATATTTGACGTGAGCTCACAATGCTTTCACACAAAATCTCACTCCTGGTTTCCTCTAAGCTTTCCTCATTCAAATAGTTTAATTAAGAAAAACATTCCAAAAAACAAAATAAAGTCTCATACAAACAAGCTATAGAAACACAGAAACATTTCTGCCTAACCAGGTGCTATTAGACCTAATTTAGAAAAATGAAAAGCTTTTGTTTGCTTCCATTGTCCAACAATTGGAGTCCCAAACTCTTGCCAATCTGCTATAGATCACTGAGAGATCCACCTGTGAACATGCTCTCAAACAGTGGATACGAAGAATTGTTCCTGAAGTTATTCTTATTTGGGGAGGAGGGGGGGGGGGTTCTTACAATACGTTTTTCAAGGACAAATATGTGCAGAGCAAATATTTATTTATTTATTTACTATATGTCTACCCTACCCTTCTCAGCCCAAAGGGGACTCAAAATTATGGCAAAAATTTTGCTTAAAAGAAAAAGCAAAAATTTTGCTTTCTTTTGTGTTAAAAGAAAGCAGAGTGGGAATTTTGGACTTCAGCTCCTACAGTTCCTAACAGTTCATAAAATGGCTGGGATTTCTGGGAGTTGAAGTCCAAAACACCTGGAGGCCCAAAGATTGGGAACCATTGCTTTAGGTAACAGGATACTTTCCTTGCCCAGACAGTTCATACCGTGCTCTAATGATCTAAACTTTTAACCTTCTGTCTTGCACTATAAAAGGAATAGCCCCTGTACATGACACAAAATCTTCAATTGGTACAGGGCATAGCAGCATATCTTACCAATTTTTGAAAGGTAGGCACATGCTCAGCCTATTCTAGGACACTTGGATTGCCTGTACCTAATTCAATATGTTGGTTTTCAGTTTAGTCTAAAGCTTTGCAAGGTTTGGGACCTCTAAATGTGACTCTTCCTATACGAGCTCAGCAACTCGCTGAGATCTACCCATTGGCTATGACCAACGATGGTCTAGAGCAGGCCTGAAAAACGTGTGGCCCTCCAGGTGTTTGGGACTCCAACTACCAGAAGCCCTAGCAAGCATGTTCAATGGTCAGGAACTTTGGGATGTGGTGGCCAAAACACCCGGAGGACCACAGGTTGTTCAAACCTGGTCTAGAGTCAGGATCCTGCCGTGGTTGTCTCCAAATTCTAGAATCGATTCCCTAAAAACGTAAAGATATAATACTTCTTTGTTACAATTATTTTCAGCAACAGAAGGGCAACTCATTGGACTACAAGTCAAATCAACTAGCCATTACAGACAATGGCAAATGATGATAGGAGTTGCAGTCTGAAAAACAAGTGGAGGGCAACAAGTGACTTATGCCAAGTCCATTTTACTTTAAATGAAACTAATTTTCTTTGACTTTTTCCAGTGGCTGTGCAATTTTATTCTTCTAAACTATCTAGAACTGCTGGAAAAAATGGTATAGAAGCAGTAGGTAGGTAGGTGGATGGGCAGAGATATAAATAGACTATAAAAATAGAGGCAAAATGTGCTTCAAGAGAATTGCTTCAAGAATCTTACTTGGAAAAGCCTCACGGGAGCAGTTCTACTTTTAAAAATTAATATTTGACAAGACTTGCTTTTGATTAAAAGGGAGCAATTTAATTTGTACACCAAGTAGTCTGTAGGCAACACTGTTCCACATTAGGTTGGTAACACCGAAACGGATTTGAGTCAAAGAGCAATCCTGTCATGATTTATAGGTGTATCTAATTGACAGGTAACTGTAACATTGTAAGAAAATATAGGCACCGTATCATTTCTGCAATTACTGAAAACTAGTGCATGAAAAGGAAAGGAGGAGCGTAGGAGGTTTTTATGGTCGTGTCAAGAATGCCTTTCTGTATTGCCATCTCTAACTGCAAGAAATCTAAGGCAAAAATACCAGGGACAAGAGTTATTGTTTTATCATCTGCAGCTAAAATAGTTCCTTATACGACCTAAAAACCACACACTTTTAATCTGTGAGATTTCAAAATCTTGAAAATTATTTTGATAAAGATAATTAGTTCATATACAAAACAAAATTTAAAAGGTTTAGTGCCAAGAGAATTTGATAATACACAGATTGAAATGTATTTAGAATGTAATTGTTGGCAATACCATGCTGTGGATACTGACTTCATTATGACGGAAGGGGAAGAGCGAGAATTTTCAATACAGATTAGAAGGTTAATTGCAGAAAAGGCTGGACATGTTAATCCCTCTTGATGCAAAAAATGCCAACGTTAAGTTATTTTAAGGAAATCTTTCTTTCAGGAGAATTAAAATTAGAATTAAGCTAACTAATTGAAGCAAAGGTTTAGATAGCTGCTAAGTTGAGACTGGGACATATCCATAATGGAAGAAAAATTCTAGAAACAGCCAACAGCATCTGTCTTCATGGTTTTTTTTTCCTGTAGAAAGACAACAATATTTATACAAAAGTGAATTGCTTTTATTATGTACTAAATGACAATGCAACTATGTTAATTTCTATGCTATATTATATTGTAATGGGAGTGGTTTTTAAATGTGAAAGGACATGTATTGTTTTGTACCAGAAGAGCTTTTCTCTGGATTTTGTGAGTACTAAACATTTCGCCTAACAAACCAAGGGCCACAATTTGTCCAGTTTGTTAGTAATTATGAGGTCATTTTTCATAAGGTAAGGTTAGGAAACAATGGACAGGCACTAAAATGAAATGTCAAAATTCTACACATAATCAGTTACTGACAAAAGCTAAAAACAGAGCAAGTCAACTGTAATGGTCAGTTTTCATTAAAAGATGTCTTGAAATCGTATTGTCGAAGGCTTTCATGACCGGAATCACTGGGTTGTTGTAGGTTTTTTTGGGCTATATGGCCATGTTCTAGAGGCATTTTCTCCTGATGTTTCACCTGCATCTATGGCAAGCAACCTGAGAGATAGTGAGGTCTATTGGAACTAGAAAAATGGGTTTATATATCTGTGGAATGACCAGGGTGGGGCAAAGAACTCTTGTCTGTTAGAGCTAGGTGTGAAAGTTTCAACTGGCCATCAAATGCTAATCAAGGTGATCATTTGAAACATTCACACCTGGCTCCAGCAGACAAGAGTTCTTTGCCCCACCCTGGTCATTCCACAGATATATAAACCCATTTTYCTAGTTCCAATAAACCTCACTACCTCTGAGGATGCTTGCTATAGATGCAGGCGAAACGTCAGGAGAAAATGCCTCTAGAACATGGCCATATAGCTCGAAAAAACCTACAACAACCCTGTGTTGAAATCAGTGAAAAGCAAAATTAGAGRGGGGGGGGGCAGAAAACACCCCCAAATTAGAAAACAGCATTCTGACATTACTACAAGCTACTCCATCTCCCACTTCTTTCAAAAGATTTTCCTCCACTCTTCCGGTAAAAGAGGACTGAAAAGGGGACTGAAGAAGAACCACTACATATGAAAAGTAGGAAGCTGAGAGGGATGTAAAGACTGAGATTAGCAGCCTCTGTTCTGGTGGAGGTGGTGCAACATTTATCCTTCATGTATGGTTGAGATCTAGAAGTCTTTCTTTTAGATATTGGGGAGTGGGGAGGCAAACTTGAATTTAAGCAGTGAATCTTCTCCTCAAGAACTGGAAGTGCTGTTTGTTCTGGAATACTTGCTGCCGCTGATGGGGAATGTGAACATATTTATGAAAGATTTCTAATTATTATTACACAATTTTCAAGAATGGATCCTATGCATTTTCCTACATGGTAGTTACTATAGTAGGGAAACACTAGATCCAAACAGACTTAGTTGCAACATACAGCAACTTCAATACACTTCTTTGAAATCTGTTACAACTACAGCATCCATAATAATAATAATAATAATAATAATAATAATAATAATAATAATAATAATAATAATACATTTATTTGTACCCCGCCACCATCTCCCTGAAGGGGACTCGGGATGGCTAACATGAGGCCAAGCCCAAAATTATAGTACAGCAAAATAAAATAAAATACAAAGAAGCAAAAATAACATCAAAATAAAATACATGAAATAATAAAATAAAATAAACAGTTTACAAAATAACATGATAGAGAAACAGAACACAGTGGGCAGGCCAAATGCACTAGGATAAAATTGATAAAGCCCTGGATGACCTAAGTAGTGGGAGAATGTGTTTCTGAGGGAGGAGCTCAAAAGGAACAAACAATGGGTTTAGACCTTCATCAAGGGCAGGAGGAAAGTGCATCATGAGGATGAAAACTGTAGTTGGACAGACAAAATATGGAATATATGTTCACTCGCCAAAGGCACATCGGAAGAGCCAAGTTTTTAGGTCTTTCTTAAAAGCTGCCAGAGTAGGGGCTTGCCTAATCTCACTAGGTAGCAAGTTCCAAAGCTGAGGGGCCACATTCTTC